TCCCAAATGGACCAATGTGTCTGAAACTTTTCTTCATTCGACGTGAACCATGACCAATAATTAAGTTAATAATACCAGGCACTTAATTGCGGTTATGTTGGATTGAGCCGTGAGCACTAATATCATGTTTTGTCCTGAAGCACAACTTTGTCTCATATCGATGTAGACCTGTGTCAGTGGGTGCTCCTTTGCCTGCCTATATTGCACCCTTTCCCAGCTAAATCGCACTTATGGTGATTTGTAATTTTGGGGTGGGAGCATAATGAGGGGATTATTGCAAGCAATCTCACCCATGATTTTAGTACAAATGAGGTATGGTATACCATCCAAAGTTAGGGTCAAAAATTGATCATCCAAAGGGTCTTAGATATCAGTGATTGTTTGAAAATTCTATTTTCATACATAGAACCAACAACTCGTTTGGCTCTTATTAGTTTAAATCTTCAAAAACTATTTTGTATAATACAAACCATTTCAAAATCAAATTTTTTTTTTTTTTTTGACTTGGGAAAGAAAAATTCTAACCATTTAAGTCAAATACTCAAGTGTAATGATTTTTAAGTATTATCAGAAAAATAGTAATTCATTACAGTTTTTGCATTCATCTCTAGAAATTTTATTATCCTAATATAGATTTATATGTTGAAGTCGAGTTCTTATGAATACCCTTAAAGATTGAAAAAACTAAAAATTTTTGAAATTATTTTTTTCCCATACCCCAATTTTTTTTTTGAATTTTTTTATCAATAAAAAAACAAATCTGTCAATAATTATATATATATATATATATATATATATTATAAATGAATATCTTAAAAAAAATCTTAAATCAGCTATTCATCTACACTGCCTTATGATCTTGTAACTACCATCCATCAACCGCTAGCTGTAACTAACTTTGAAGAGAGTTTGAAATAGCCCATTTCTAAATTGATATGATGATGAAGTCCATATCAAACACTAGGGAATTTGGATAGAATTTTATCCATAGCGAGGCTACCTGTAGAGCAACTTTTGTTATTAAATGAATTATGGTTATATTCATTGAATATAAATTTGAAACAAACTTATAATTTTGTCAAATGATATAGATATATATCTTAAAAATTAAATTTTAATCATTGAAATTATTATCAACGAATCACGTTGTGAAAACAAGAGAGGGCCAAAGTTTGTTTTCAATTCATATCATCATTATTATTTCCCTAGCTAAGGTCCAATCCGTGATCATACAGCCATATATAATTAAACCTGTGATTTTCATTAGCAGAAAGAAGTCAAGAAAGGACCTCATTTTTTTTTTTTTTATGATTAGGGGCTCTCAATAATTAAATACTCGAAAGGGACCTTCATAATTCTTAATTAATTAATAAGTGTAAGCTTTAGGTTAGACCTTTCCAGAGTGATCATAGTAATTTGCCCATTTTCAAGAAGTTGACCAACCATAAACCCACCTTAGCTATTTTCCATTGAAAGCTACCTTAGCTTTAGTATTAAATAATATTTGAAAGGTAATTTTGAATGAAATGATGGTATTTTAGGATAAAGATGTCTTTATAATAATTAATTGATATTTTTTCATTTTGGGAGTTTCTATTAATTTTCCAAAAATTATTTTCTACATCCAAGTACTTATTACACCTCAAATTAAAAGCTTAAAAAATATCAATAAAATTAAAAAAATTGTTCTTAAACTTCAATTTGCTTCGATTTGCTGTCAGATTGTTAATTTTACTATTCATTTAAATGAAATTTATCTTCTTCCTTATTTTTATTTGATCTCAAATCTCACTAAATTTATAATTATTGGATGTTTAAGACTTTAGGTATTTTTAACTTTGAGCCATGTTATCGATAAAGGGAGAATATGTAAACATTGTGAAAGAAATCATTGGAATCAATCTAAAATTGGAATGAAGAAAAGACTAATGAAGTATACAACTCATTTCCTTTGAATTCATAACTTGCATATTAAATTGTATCGACATCTTTGCCCATAATCAAATATCCCTTTTCCACACCACCTATCGATGAACGTTGAGGAAGAAATAAACTAACTGATGCAATCAACTACAATACAGGAGACCATTTGAGAAATCACCAACTCTTGAAAGACGAAATAAGGTCAAGAAGCCGAGCAACTCCAAAAGTATAAATAGTTAATAGTTGTTTAATATTATAAAATAATCATTTTATCATAAAAATTTCAAAATAAAAGTTTTTGAGTATAAATTTTGGATTAAAGTTTTGAAAAAGTTTATAAAATTCATCCATTTGAAGAGAATTAATGGGGTGAAGATTTAACACCAAAGTTTTTAAAAATGGATTGATCTATTTATGAGTAATGCCCTAACTTGTTTACATTTATTATTTGTATTTAAAAAATTTAGAATAAACTCAAAAGCGAATAACTACAAGCCCTTTTTTTTGTTATTTAATTTTTTTACATGAATTAAATTTATCAATTATTTTTTAAATGAAAGGGTAAGAATAAAAACTAAATATAACAATTTATTAAATAAATTAAATGATAAAAAACTATCTAGGAAAACTCTTTTTTGTTAAAAGAATTTGATAACATAAAATTTAATATATTTTTATACCATAAATAAAAATATATGTTAAGATATAAACAAAATATAAATATATTTTAAAACACATATAAATTAAATTTCAAATGCATTTTTATTATGTAATTTATAATAATTAATTTTTATGTATTTAATTTTCATAATTGATAAATATAATTATATCAATATCAATACATATATTTAAATATATATAAATAAAAATCATAAATAATTTTTATTTGATATAATATAATTTAAAATCATATTTTAAAATTAATTAATTAAAATAATTATAAATATTTTAAAAAAACCCCTTCGCGAAGCGAGGGCATCAATCTAATTTTAATTAAAAACAAGCATGGATAATTAAAAAAATAAATTTTTCTTTATGTTAAAACCATATAAACTCATCCCTATAATCCAAACATGTCATAAAGTTAGAAAGTATTCAATCAAAACTCACCAAAATTTATCCTTTTTCTTAACCGGCTTCTATATTAATAAGAAGAGAGGCAAATGATGATCAAAAAGTTAAACTCGATGCGTAAAGCATAGTAACTCCAAATTGGCAAATTGGATTGAATGGTTCTTGAACCAAAGATGAGCATACTAATATGTTACCTGTATGCATGAATGTTATCAAAGCCGGTACTGTTGAACCCACTTTTTATTGGATTTCATAATTGTGGACAGAATTATTTAGTCCAGAAAGCCCATTCCATCATGTCCCAATTTCCCAAATGGACCAATGTGTCTGAAACTTTTCTTCCTACAACGTGAACCATGACCAATAATTAAGTTAATAGTGTGAGGCACTTAATTGCTGTTATGTTGGATTGAGCTGTGAGCACTAATATCATGTTTTGTCCTGAAGCACAACTTTTTCTCACGTCGATGCAGACCTGTGTCGGTGGGTGCTCCTTTGCCTGCCTATATTGCACCCTTTCCCTGCTAAATCGCACTTATGGTGATTTGTAATTTTGGAGTGGGGCATATATGAGGGGGATTAATGCAAGCAATCTCACCCATGATTTTAGTACAAATGAGGTATGATATACCATCCAAAGTTAGGGTCAAAACTGATCATCAGTGATTGTTTGAAAATTCTATTTTCATATATAGTACCAACAACTCGTTTGGCTCTCATTAGTTTAAATCTTCAAAAACTATTTTGTATAATACAAAACCATTTCAAAATCAAAATGATTTTTTTTTTTGACTTGGGAAAGAAAAATTCGAACTCTATTATTTGATCAGGAGATAATGTATTAACCATTTGAGTCAAACACTCAAGTGTAATGATTTTTAAGTATTATCAGAAAAGTAGTAATTCATTATAGTTTTTGCATTCATCTCAAGAAGTTTTGTTATCCTAAAGGTAGATTCATATGTTGAAGTAGTATTTATGAGTACCCTTAAAGATTGAAAAAATTAAAAAAAATTTTTTCGTACCTCAAAAAAATATATTGGATTTTTTTATTGATAAAAATAACAAATCTGTCAATAATATATATATTATAAATGAATATCTTTAAAAAAAAACTTAAATCCACTATTCATCTACACTGCCTTATGATCTTGTAACTGCCATCCATCAACCACTAGCTGTAACAAACTTTGAAGAGAGTTTGAAATAGCCCATTTCTAAATTGATATGATGATAAAGTCCATATCAAACACTAGGGAATTTTGATAGAATTTTATCCAGAGCGAGGCTACCAGTAGAGCAACTTTTGAAATTGTAATGAAAATTTTCCTCAATTTTGTAAAATTTTTGAATCAGAGTATGGGGGGGGGGGAATCAATATCTCTCGAAGCCTCAAATAGTGTAGGTGATGATGAGAACATGCAAAGTGCAAATTCACTGTCAAAAAAGTCTTAATTCTGTCTGGCATTGAGGAATAAGCATAAAACTTTTTCACTCCAAATTGCCTTTCCTTTCACCAAGGAAAATTATTATTTTGTCTGCCTATGAGTGAAACCAAGCTTTATTCCGTCAAGAAGGATTCTTCTTTGAGACAAAACCCTCATTCCCATTATTAAGATAAAGAAAGCCTTTAAAGTAGAAGAAATATGTAAAAAAAAAAAAAAAAAAAGGAGTTGCAAACATTTTTTTGACCTTTTCACAGCATAGTTCGAAGTTCAAACAGAAACTACATACCTTAAACAATGTAAAAGTGGGTAAAGTTAAAAAAAAAAAGAAGAAAACCTTGACAGCATTGCAAAATTGCCTGATTGAAGTAAGAAAAGTCAATCTAGTAGCGACTGTTTTTGTTTTGTTTTTTTCTTTTTACATTTAACGCGGGAATTTTCACGGTGCTTTTTCTTTAATTTCTAACCAAACAAAAGTCGGTGGGTGAGGGGATCGATCATATCAAACAAGTTGTCGTTGTTGTTTGTTGATGTTTGGTTATATTGATAACAACTCTGTTTTTTTTTTTTTTTTTTTTGATGATTTCCCAGTAGTTAAGCCTGAAAACCCTGATCATAATCATATCAAGTTACAGGACACATCCATCGACCATTATCCTCATCGTGAGCTTTGCCTCAAGGAACAAGCAACCACCTGCGCCCATTGCCTCAGCCTTGTCTTCACCGTCTGTGGATTATCACCTTCACCAATCACCAAAAAGACAAAATCAGAAGAAAAAGAAGTTCCAACAAAATTAGGATCATCTGAGTTGAATTTATTACTTACCAGGGCCAAAGATCGCGTGGGGGCTGCCTATAGGGGAGGGAATACTATCACAATCCGATGCGGCTGAAGGAGATGACGCGGACTTGGAAACGGTGTCGTTATAATTCTTGTTAACAGCATAATAAAGACCAAGAGCAGGCAAAGTATCAGACAAACGTTGATCCACCTCAGGGGAGTCAAACCCAAACCCCAACTCAATACAAGCCTTGAGTTCATCAAGGTCTTCGTCTGTCACGCTCTTGCTTCTCCTGTTCTTGCTGTTTTGTTTCCTTCTAAGCCATGCCTCATCACGGAAAATGTCTGGTGACCACGATCGCTGCTTATAAAGCGGAAGCAGAGGTGGCATCATCATCAACGGCGGCGGTTGTGATGATTCTAGTACTTGTAGTACTTTTTCTCGGGGTGGTGGCAGGGGAGGAGGTGGGAGTGGTGGTGGTGGCGCTTGATCAGGATAGGACATGGATTCAGCTGCCCCGAGGAGGTCCGGGGGGACCTCGCCCGCGGGGGTGGGGAGCTCTCTGGCTGGTGTCGTTTTTGGGATATTTTAGAAGTGAAGAGGGGAGGTTAACGTGAGATGAGATATAAGGTGGTGAGGTGGTGGGAGTGTGGGTCAGGCCTGAACCTGAGGGCCTTGGGATTGGTTGGTCTGAGTCAGGATGACCTGTCTTTTCCTCATTTATTTGCTTTTAAACAAAGGTTAAGTGTTTCTTAGAAGATTTATAATTGTACTTTTTTATTTTTAAGCTAGGGTACAGCCTTTTATAAACGGAAAGGAACATCATTTTGATTCGGAATTAAAATTTTTTTAATCATTAGAATAAGAGGTGAGAACAATAGTAATTTTTCTTTACTTGTTGATATAATATAACATCGAAGCCAGCTCCAAATTAATAAGATGCATATGGATTATTTCACGATTTGACCTACAAATAGTAATTCTTTTTACTGCCTGTCTCAAGTGCATATATGATTCAGTTCGAATTATTATGCACATTAAATATGTAAAAAGAAACAATTAAAAAAATAATTTAATATAAAATTTAATTCATTTAGTTTTTATAAGTATTTGTAAAAAAAAATTGACATTCAATAATTTTAAATTTTAAAATGAACACTTATAACTTATTAATTTATTTTCAAATTATAATTTTTTATAAAAAACTTTAATATTATTAGCTTACGACATTCATTATGATTTATTAAATTTTAAATTTTACCAATGAATTAAGAGGGTGTAGACACCATTTTATTATTTTTATTTTTATTTATTTATTTTTTTCTGGCAGTGGCTTTGACAGTTGCTTATAGTTACGCTGCCAGTAGCCTTGACAGTTACCGACAATCGTTCTGACAACCAGTGATTGCCCTAATCATAGGTGATCAAAATCTCAAAATTTTTGAGATTTTGATTTTCTTTTTGCTTTATAAATAGAACTGTAAAAACACCATAAAAAAGGAGGAGACCCTGCAAAAAAAACAGTTTCCAGAATAAAAAAAATTTTCTTTCTACAAAAAAAAACCAAAATAAAAAACATAGTCCTCCTCATGGGGAGGAACCTCAGCGCCAAAAGCCACCTGCACCAAAGAAAAAAAAGATAGTCATTGTAGGTTTTCAAAAATTACAAAAAAAGAAAGAGAACTCAGGAATTTTAAAGCCTGATCTACATCGATCGAGGCGCTTTCTCACAAAAGGGAGACCGGATCTAGAATAAAGAGGTTGAGTAAAATTTTTAGGGTTTTTTTTATGTTTTTTGGTCACTAACGACCATCAGTAGTGACCACTAGTGGTGACCACAGACGGTTGCCAATGGGGTAGTCTGGCGCTAGATTTTGGCAAAGCCAAAGAGTGTTTTTTTTTTTAGTTGAGAATTTTTTTTGGGAAGAAGGTTGAAATGAATTAAAAAAAGTTGACTTTAATATAAAAAGTCAAAGCCCAAAACGACACCGTTTTGGACCAGAAAGGATCCGCACGTGGACCCGGATCCCACTTGGGATTCACACAACCCAACTCACTTTTGCCTAAGCCTAAGATCCGTCCAGTTGAACCTGTATCGAACCGCTAGTGAACCGGTTCGGATCGGTTAGAACCATCTAACCGACTGGACTCGCGTTGACCGGTTCGGTTCAGGTAAAATTTTTTTTTTTGAATTTTTATATATTATTTTATTAATATTTATACATATTAAAATATTTATATTTGTTAGATTAAATAATGAAATATTTAGTTAATTTTTTTATAATTTTATTAATTTTAAAATAAACTTTAAAAAATATTTAAAATAATAAAAATGAACTTTCTAATAATATAAATTAATAAAAAGTGTTAGAAAAGGGAATTTTTATTCGAAGATGAGAGTCATAAGTATTTCGTGTAGTAATATCTATAAAATCTCTAGGTAAAAATTTTTTTTTAAATACTATTAGTATATTAGAGTACTTATAAAAAAATTTTCAATACAATAAAAATTCTCTTTTTCTTGGTAAAAAAGTAAGTAATAAAAATTAACTAATAAATTAAGAATAATAAATAAAAAATGAGAAAAAAAGAAATTTTATCCGATGACGGGATTCTAAAAGTATTTCGAGTAGAGATGCTTTAAGAAATTTCTAAGTGAGAAGATATATTTTTTAAATATTACCAACGTATTGGAATTTTTATAAAAAATCTTTAATATAATAAAGGTTCCTATTTTCTTCAAAATAATAATAATAATGTAATAAATAAAAATTAATAAAATTTCTGAAAAAGAAAATAAAATACATGCATTAACATATTAGCATTATGCATTGCATGCATAATAAAGTTTTTGTGAAAAGTAAATTCGAATATCCGAGGATGAGATTCTAAGGTGTTCCGAGAAACGATACCTAAGAAATCTTTAGGTGAGAAAATATTCTTTTAATGTTACCAACGTACTGGAACATTTTAAGAATTATTTTGATAAAAAGGTTTTAATTTATTTTTCTCAAATAAAATTTGAACACTAAATAAGAAAAAAATCCAAATTTCAATAAACAAAAGAAATCAAGAAAATTATTTTTCAAACACTGAAAATAAGACTGTTTTTTATTAAAATCACTGGATAACACATAGTTAATTGGTATAATTTTAAACGGACATTGTGGGGGTGCTAATCCTTCCCCACGCGTAATCGACTCTCGAACCCAGACTATTTCGCAGATCATAAAATTATCTTTTTAATAAATTTTAATTAATTTTAAAATTTTATTAAAAGGATAGATTTTAATAGGTAGCCAATCGCACCTAGCTAAAAAAGATTGGTGATGACTCCTTTTTTTTGTTTTTTTTCCAAATTCATCAGGTGGACACAAAACCATTATGACAGCTTGGCGACTCCATTGGGGATGTCATTTGTTGACAAAATTAACTACGTGTTATCCTCAAATTTTGATTTAAACAATCCTAATCGATTTTTTAATTTTTAATTTTTCACTTTCAATAAGAAAAAAAATAAAAAAATAAATTAAAATAAAAAAAATGCACACACGTTTCTTTTACTATGCCTCATATACTTTATTTTTTCGTATGTATTATTCTCAATAAATTAGGAAACATGAGCTCTATACCCGGGCTCCGTCCCTTATAAAAGGAAGTAAAGTACCTATACTCTCGTGAAGTGATAACCTCCATAATAGTAAGCAAAATACTTTCACTCAAATTGAACCCTTTTCATTTGTAGCCTGTGATGGGTGAGGATTAGGGTACCTTACTAGCCCAACATGGATGAAAATAAAGAACAATTTGAGAACCTTTAGACACATGTTAACCTAAACCAAGCATGTAATAAACTGTAGGAAGCTAACCTTAGGTAGAGCCTTGCCCACCCTCTTGTAGAAAATACCTAAGTCTAACACATGTAGGAATAAAAGTTGTGTGTAAGAAAAAACACAAACAAAACAAAAAAAATCTCAAAATTTTTTTCAATCTCAAACCGCATCCTCACACTAACTCAATTTTATTTTCCTTTCTTTTTCTTTTTTACATAAATCATATCATACAGTTCTGCATCGAGGTATTTGTTCTAGGATATCTTTCTCTTGAGAAGTTATTCATAGATCTCATAGAACTATAGATTTGCTCAAATCTCATGAATCAATGAAAGTTTCTAGTATTGAAATTTATCCAAGAGCAAATATCTCTCACTTGCATTCATGCATCATGTGCACTATTTTTTCAAAAAATCAAAAATAAAAAAAATAAAATTTTCAATGCATGGCATTTTGATTTTAAAAATTTATGATAATAAAGGTTCAAAAACAACTCGTCCATAAAAAATTTTGACTCAACCTACCTGTCATTCATACAACACTAGAGCTCAAAGAAAAATCATGAAATAAAAACAAGTTAGTCGATTTGAGAGGATAAAGAAGGCTCAAGAAAAACTAAAAGGGGATATTGATAAGATAATGGACATGCTTAAGAAACTTGACAAGGGCAAAGCAATGGAAGAAAATCTCAACTTTCAAGAGCAATAGCCAGACATGGTGGATCCTGTTTACCCACCAAGGTTTAAGCCATGACAAACCCAACATTCTCAAGGAACTAGAGTATAAATTTATACTCTCGATGGATATTTCAGTCTTTATCCAGAAATGACATCCACACCTGTTTCAGGATAATTGTAAAATTTTATCAATCCTGTTATGATGAAAAAATCACCCGAGCTAATCTTGGTTCCTGATTTGGATGATCTTAAGGAGAAAAAAAAGATAGAGATAAAGACACTCGAAAAAGTAGAAGATATCAGTGCCCAACAAAAGATGAAATTATTAGAAAAAAGACTTACAACCATGAAGAAAATGAATTTTTATGGCTCTATGGATGTAATCGAGCTTTGTTTGATCCCTGACATGGTCATTCCACCTAAATTTAAAGTCTCTGAATTTGAAAAATACGATGACACAAAATGCTTAATGACTCATGTCATTATGTATTGTCGTAAAATGACGGCATATGCTCGTGATGAAAAGTTGTTAAGACACGTATTTCAAGATAACCTTACAAGATCTATAGTCAGATGATATGTTTAACTAGATAAGACTCGTTCATTCCTGACAAGAGCTCACAATGGCATTTCTTACATAATATCAGCATGTCATGGATCTAGCTCCAGATCATTTATCTTTACAGAGTATGAAAAAAAAAGCAATTGAGAGCTTCAAAGAATATGCATAGAGATGGATGGATATAGTCGCATAAGTACAACCTTCTCTCATTGAGAAAAAAATAACTGTTTTTTTTGTAAATACTTTAAAAGCACTATACTATGAGAGATTGATAGGCAATGTAATCAAAAACTTTACAAATATGGTGATATCAAGTGAGATTATTGAGAACGCCATAAAAAATGACAAGCTCGATGCATGAGAGACAAACAGAGCAAAAAAAGATGAAACCCTCAGAAAGAAAGAGAATGAAGCTCAAGCAGTGAACTATATGGGGTAACAGTTTGAAAGTTTCACTCCATCCTACATTTATGTACCAAACCCATTATCTTCCCATAAACAATGTTACATCCATCCCTTATTCTTGTCAACCGTATCAACCACTACAACAATCAGTTTATCCACCCTATTTTTAATCATCTTTTTAGACTCTCAACTATCCATACAACCATTTTACTGTACCTTTCATATCAAAACAA